AATGTGAATGAGAATGAGAACATGCATTGGCAACAACCACAAGAGAAAATTTTTACAATTAATGTGAAATCGGATAAAGATACTTAACAAATAAATAAAACTTAACAAATTCCGGCAATAATTTAAACATTTAAATTATTTTGTTAAATAATAAGAATTCACCATTGCATTATGCCATCAAACAATTCATTTCCTTCGTGAATTGAATGTGGATATCTTATTACCTATTACCTATAATCAAATATGTAAATATATATACTACGATAACCGACATTTCCTTGGTATTATTGGAAAATAGTACGAATTAGTACTTACTTGCAGTACGAGGAAGAGTTATTGAAATAGAATGCATTTACCTATGAATTTTAACAGTTCCGTTATGACTTAAAAAATACAAGTCCCAGATATTAACGATCGTCCTTTTTTTTTTGAAAATATGTATCATGCGCTTCTTTTGCTATTAATTGTAGTTTGCGGTTAATATCTGTTTCTGCCAAACCATTTAATTTAAAATTTTCATTAGAAAATATGCCAACTATGCTGGAATGCCTGCACCAAAAATTATCATGTTCCCAAACCGCAAACATGTCGGCCTAGACATTTTAGTTTTGTTGCCGCTTCAAAAATTCTCAAATACCAATAAAACGTTAAGTTCACCAAGGCAAAATTAACAACAACAACAAAAACAACGACAGGACAACGGTAGTGATGGCTGCGACAGTAAAAGCTGTTGTTGCCAACAAAGTAATGTTTCCATGAGGAGCAGCTACTGCCGGAGATGTTGAATTTGGAACGAAACAAAAATTAAACACAGACATGATCGACACTATAATGGTTCTGCACACATGGTAGTGAATCTAGCACCCACTGTGTCTATGTGTGTGTATGTGCCCAAGAATGTTAGTGGATGTATTCTGAACGATGGAAAACCATCACTTTTTATCAGAATTGGCATATTTTGAACGAGATGTGAGTCAATTAGAGGTATACTCGTTGCTTGGAGTGTTGACCGCGATATTGACACGTTGCTCTAAACCATGAGACCGCGATTGATGCTGTGGCAATGATTTAGTTTGCAAGTGGTTTTCAGACGTCCGCTTGTGAAACATTACGGAGATTTATGGAAATTTTATAAATACATTTACGTATGTATATACGGCATGCAAAATGCAAAAATATACGTACATAATGAATATGACATTAGATACGTTTAAGTTTATAACATTTTATATGAGGTGTAGAAGAAATAAATTCAAGGACATACGTAGTGAATATTAATGGCGGATAAAGGAACAAATGTTAACTAATAAATATAAATGAAAATATTATTGTATATCTATAATCACTGTAAATACGTTATTTTTTGCCAAATATGCAAATAGAACCAAAATGGCAACCTCCAGAAAATTATGGTAAAAGGACAGTAGAAACCGAGGTACACATGCACATTAGGTGTACTACAATTTGCAACTTTAGAGAGCATGAAATATGCGACTTTATTAACAAATGTTTTGTAATATTTAAAACCTTTAATTCATTCTCTGGTAAATATTCTCCACATAACGTTACGGAAGAGTCAAATCAGTTACCTCATAGTAATTGTCCCATGACTTCATTTATGACAAATTTAATTACCGTTAGTACCAGAACTGCAATATCCAGAATAATTCTCACTTTGACACTTTTCCCAAAAAATTAAGTATACAAGGAAATTTTAACTCGGATCGGATACGTGTTAAATTCACAGAGCAACGACACTATTTTAATACATAAATTATGATGTATTTTTCATAGAACATAGTTACATTGTTTATTCTAAGATTTATAGTGAAATTATGTGTAAAAAATTTCTTCTTCTTCTTCTTTGGACACCTTTTACCTAAAACAATATTTTATGAAACTTTCAGCCGTCAAATCGAAAAAAAATCCTGGGAAAATTTGATCAAATAAATTAAGAAACATTTTCTGTTTTTTTTTTTTCGGAACATTGCTGCAAAAATATTTTGGCATACAATGAAAACAGAGATCTATTTTCGTTGATGACTTTTAGTAAAATTTTACGAAAAATATTTGTTGGAGATTTTGCACAAAATCATAAAAAGTACAGCTTAAACCCTAAAATGTGTTTTTAATATTTATGAATTTCTGGCGTTTAGGTGAGATTGAGACCTAATTGACGTCTTCTAGGACCTACAGTCAAATTTTGTAACAAACAATTTTGTGTAATATTTTGACTCGCTACTATCGCGTTTAAAGGGAGTTTTAGCCATATTTAAAAAGGACTAAAAAGGCCCCTTTGTTGACCCGTTCTATATGCCTCAAACGCGAGGATTTTGAAGAATCTAAATCCGGAAATGACCAAAAGTGTAAAAGAGGGTTACTTTGCAATGTAAACTTTCGAAATGCCGATACACGTATCTTCTCCTCGACACACGTGTCGTCTCTTCTTTTATAAACTGATGGATTTTCCCCTGGAATCATGAAAGAACTGTTTTAGGAATCATTTTTCAAATTTACAAGTTTCTTTATAACATGATCTACGAACAGATCATGTAGAAACCCCTAACAAATCATGAGTCTTGCTGTCAAAATACATGATTTCACTAAAAAAAAAAATCCGGGCCGACCGAATTTTTAATACCCGTCACCATTTTAAACGAAATGGAAAAATTTTCAAAAAAATACCTCTCAAATGAAACCTTTTACATGGGGGCTGTACGAAGACGTGGTCCATCAAAAGTTTTTATTATAGGCTGTATTTCTGAATCCGAACTTCAAATACGAAAGCTATGGTTCCTCTTCTACTGAGCTTACATTGTTTTTATAAAAACAACAAAAATGGGATTAAGCCTGCCCATTTTGTAACAACAAAATACTATGGTTACCCGAACAAACAATCCACCACTGTTCAATTATCAAAAAATATTTTTAAACAAGGTTTTTTTGAAAATTTGAACGGGCAAAATGTGCTACCGTGTTATAAAATATGTTCATAGTATGGTAGAGGGTATGAAAAACAAATTTCCATTTTGGAAAATAAAGTCGAAAAAATTTGTGTTTCTACCATTTGGAATGAATTTGCAAAATTATTCAAATACCGAATACATGTATGGACAATTATCTCCCAGAGAAAGCAATGCCTATTCCGAAGTCCAAATGCCAACTTTCATATAAAACCGTTGAATGATAAGGATATGGAACTGTATAGGCATTTCTTTTCATTTGTATTTTGTAACATTTTTTTCGCGAAATTGTTTGGAAAAAATTTAAGAGAAAACTAGCAAATATGGCAACTAATGATATTGTCTTAAAAAATTATTTTTAGTAAACAAGTTTGGTCGAGTAGAAATTAGCCTCGGATTGACAGAAATATTGATTTTAAATGATTGTCATCAAAAATTGCAAGTTCCGTACAAGAATATACACCTTCTCCACAATTGCAAAATGATTAATATTACCAAATTCTTCGGGTCCATATTATTGAACAAACCACACATAACAGGTTGAAAGCGCAAAATTATGGAATATGTTAAATTGTTTTGTATTCCAATGCAAAAACGAATTTTCTCCATGATTTGAGTTCATTTAAAAAATATAAAAAATACGTCGGATTTTTTCTATTTCCGTAACATTGATAAAATACTTGTGTATAAAAATTGAGTAAGAAGTGTGAAACAAATATAATAACTTGTTACGCTTAACTACTTTCAAAAAAAAATAAAACAAAAAAATGAAACTAACCTCAAACTTCAAAATTGGTTGTCAAAGTTGAATTTCTTAAATTCAAAGTTTTTTAAACTCGACGGATTTCGATAACATTCACATAAATACATGGGTTTAAATTTGTGCTAAAACGTCGAAGACGTACGTCGAGCATTCGGTAGACCTCTTATATTTATACACTTAGGCTCCCACTGTAAATATTGCTTAATATTTTAGCAACCATTCTATCGAACATCCAAGGAATAGTCCAAAAAACGTATGAGTTATATTTTTAGTGGCCGCATTATGTCTTTTTGGCTTATTGGCCAAGTGCCAGAGAACAAAACTCTCTCAACGAATGTAGAACATTTATTTTAGTAAATATAGTTCCTCAAATTTGCATACCACATACATGCACACGTACTTACATCCTATGTTATTGTATATTATAGAGAACATATACATCAAAATACACATGTATACAAGAGAATGGCATGAGTGAGCGAAAAAAAAGAGAATATTAAATTATCGCCTCATTGCTACGATAGCAGATACCCATATAGAAGAGAAGTGAAAAGAAATTGCAAATAATCAGCTGAGTGTTAGCGAGTTAACGAATAAACATGAATATGGCAAGCAAAACAAAAATGAAAAATAACGAGAACGGTGCTTTCTCTATCTCTCGAGAGGATGTGCGCAACACAAAACAATTTTTGCAGTTCTTGTTTGTTTATATTTTGGTGGCACAGACAAGACTACTACTCACATACACATGTCTAAATGTACAGATGTCTTTTAACATTCCGCCATAGACGTTGGCCTACATTTGCCGTGTCAACAGCTGGCAATAGTCACTCTCAAACTGTAGCCAAGTCATAGATTGCATGCCATCCGCTATTTTTACCAATCAGCCGGGCGTTACGTATTTTCGTATGTGCAATGGTGAATCACGCCGGAACCCCCATTTGCAGAGCAGCAGAACGACCACTGTCAATAACATTGCTTTGGCAGTGGAAGGCGCAGTGTTTTGGTTTTATTTTTAAACGAACGAAGGCGTCTACCGGTCGAGCCGGTATAAAGCACCATACCAATGACAAATCATGTCATACCTTGTAATGTGGACACACCATTTCCGGTTTGATTGTATTTGTTTGTGTGTGATGTGATATATTTTCATTTGCCTGTAAATGAAATAAATTAAAAATTCAGAGGCATCTCCCCTTTCGCCCCTTTGAAGTGGACAAATTCGTTATTTAGACCAATTGAAATTCTAATTAAAATTTTATTTTTATTTTCAGATTATTTTTACATTGACATCCACTCTGCAGCCAACGAACCAAATTTGCGGTGTATCAAACAAAAACAACGGGGTCAACAGACTGACTGCGTGCGTTTAGACGCAGGGTTTGTTGCATGCATACATGGACAGACAATTCGTTGGTCTCTTAGAACATTAACGTCATTTTTTTCATTAATTAAATATTGAGTGGATTATTTTTTAATTGAATCGTGAAGAGTGAAAAAGAAATCACGTCAGAATTTTGGATTCGTTTTTTTTTTTTTTTTTTTTTTGGTGAAAGCTGAAGTCATTTTTTGGTACTAAACAAAAATGGCTGAAGCTGAAGGAGGATCGGAGCAGGATGATGTTTCATTCTTGAGGACGGTAAGTGTTTTCTTCAATTCAATTATTAATAATTTGTTTTGTGTTAAAATACAAATTATTATTGAAACGTGAATGTTATTTATTTATTTACGTTTTTGGAGGGTCCCACCATAGTGGAGGTTATATAGACCACAGTAATACATTTCTTAATACAAATTGTTCTTATTTATATTGGGTGAAATTTAATGGTTCAAAAAAGGATTTAAATCAAGTTATAGACATTGATATCTATGAGAAATTGTTTAATATTCATCATCTCATAAAAGTATAGACAGATCTCTAATCATGTACGGCGGATATGCATATTTGTAGTATAAAAGAAAAAAGTCTAATATTATAAATATTTTAAATTTCTGATTATTGATTACTCCATCATTATTCCAAAGGTGCCATCTGTAATCCGGGATTGAAATTTGTATTATAGAATTATTATGTTGTTACGAGAGTCCTTCGCCATTTTATCAACTTTGTCGTTTTCGTAGATGTGAAAATGACTCGGAACCCTCATGAATTCAACACAATTGTAAACCATTGTCTTTGGTATGACCCTTATTTGTTGAAAAATACTATTTTTGGTTAAAGTGTTATCTACGTTTTCTAATGAACTCTTACTATCAGAAATTATAAATATTTTTGCCCCATAATAGTTTTTACGAAAATTCTAGACTTGATTTTACTGGTAATAGTTCACAATTATAAATTGAGGAATAATTATTAATGCGTTTGTAACTCAACGAAATAATAATTTTAGACCCAACAAAGTATATATATTCTTGATCAGCGTAGAATTCTAAGACGACTTAGCCCTGTTCGTCCTCTTGTGTTTCCGTCTGTTATTATCACGCCAGAGTCAAAACAAATTAATATAGGAAGCTAAAATTTTACACAGATCAGTCTTTTGTCTGCAGGCAGGTCAAGTTCGAAGGTGGACGATATCGGTCCAAGATATCGTATAGCCGCCATATAACGGTACCCCTGATATTCGGTATTTTGATAATTGTAGCAAATTCGTCAATGAAATTGTACGAAAATCCATAAAAGGAGTTCCTTTTGAGTATTTTACCCCCAGGAAGAGTATTGTCTATAGAGGTACACTATGTTATATATGCCCCATATAATGGTAATACCCTATATTCGATATTTTGATGATTTTAGCTACATATTAAATGGAATTGAAGAAGTTCTTTCTAAGCACTTTACCCTCTGGAAGAGAAATGGCTATATAGGTCCACGATATCGTATAACCCACATACAACGGTACCCCCCGATATTCCATATATTCCATATTTTGGGATATTATTCAAATTTCTTATTTAGAATTCGTAATGGGTACTACAGCCTATGACAAAAAATTTCATATACAGCACCACGTCTTCGTATAGCCTCCATATAATGGTACCTCCCAATATTCGATATTTTGACGATTTTAGGGATATTATTCAGAGTTCGTAATAGGAACTACAGTCTATGCAGGTCCAGGTCTTCGTATAGGCGCCATATATCAGTACCTCCCTATATTCGGTATTTTTACGATTTTAGGTACAATATTCACCAAAATTATTGGAAGTTTTGTATATGAAGTTCCGAATAGGTACTACAGTTTGTGACAGAAAATTGTCTATATCGTATTGCCCTGATAAATATAGGGATTCGGTATTTTGATGATTTTAGCTAAATTATTCACCTGATTTTTTTCAAGTTTCGTATTTGAATATTGTAATGGCCTATGACGAAATTACCTAGGCCGGTCCATGTCTTCGTACAGACCCCAATATAACGGCTGTATTCGGTATTTTTAGAATTTAACAGAATTTTTAACTGATTTTATTTTTTGTTTTTAATTTTCCAAATGGTGGAACGATTTTTTTTGTTTTTGTAAATGCGTTGGATAATTTCTTCGAGAATAATGTGCTGACATATGCAAGACTTTAAATTAGGTTTATCTTAGGAAATGTCCAAGGGGCTATAATGTGCTTTTATTTTGTATGTCAATAGGAAATTTACATTTTAAGAATTTTGTGTAGAAGGGTTGACAAGACACAGGTTTAGATTCATTTTTTAAAATTTGTTCTGCATTTATTAACATGTTATGGAATGGATGGTCTCTTAGAGATAATGTTTTTAGTGCATAACTCAGGAGTTGTTTTAATCTACTATATTTCAGAGGAAGACATCCAGAGATTGCTATGAGAAACATTGTTGAAACATTTTTCCTGACGTTATAGAAGTGCTTTTACATCATTTTTGATATAATAAGACATGGACTCAATTGCTAAGAAATAAAGTGTCACACTCAGGACCGATCCCTGAGGTACCTCTTTTTCCAAACAATTATTGTCTGGAATTCTGCTTCCTATTTAAACAGATAATTTACTGCCCTCTCAAAAGTTGGAGATTTTCTGTAGTTTGATTGTTTCGTTCGCCGAATCGGTTGACATTTTTCAATAGAAATTGACTCTTTCGCAAAAACTTCAATATAGGTTCCGGTATGGGACCTTATTAACTTTTTCAGCCAAATACCTATAACTTATTCTATCAAAAAAAAAAAATTATGTGTCAGCGGTTCATCTCAACTATATTTGTTATAAAGTCTTGTTAACATTTTCCAGTCAGATGGACAGTAATTTTGAATTTGTTTAACTAGAAGACCATGTTGACAGGAATTTAATGCTGTCCCCATGATTGAGGGTATAAAGAATTCAGAACAATTAAAATTAACTCAATTTTCATGCCTTCCAATACAGGTTGGGGTATACTATTTTGTCACCAGATTGTAACACGCCATAATATCGTTTGGGGACCCATAAATAATAAATCATTTAAAATGGATCTTTGAAACTTTTCATAGACGTATTCTTTATTTCTAAGAAGATTGGTATAGTTGTATAATAATTGATGCTATAGCCCACATTTAACAATATCTGCAGGTTTTAAGTACTTTTTACGTTTTGAGAAAATTTTTTCAATTTATACCCATACAGAGTATGGAGGGTATACTAAGTCGTCGTTCCGTTTATAACTCATCAAAATAATAATTTTGGACCCAACAAAGTCTATATATTCTAGGTCAGCGTAAAATTCTAAGACGAGGCGAGATTTAGCCCTGTTCGTCCGTCTATCTGTCTGTTTTAATCACGCTAGAGTCAAAACGAATAAAGATAGGAAGCTAAAGATTTGCACCATTCTTTCTTTTGTCTGCAGACAGATCAAGTTCGATAATATCGGTCCACGATATTGTATAGCCCCCATATAACCGTTTCTCCCGACGTTCGGTTTTTGAATGATTCTAGCCACATTTTTCAATGGCTTTATCTTAATTTCTACACAAAGAGTTCCTTCTGAGTATTTTACCGCCTGGAGGAGAATTACCTCTATATAGATCCATGTTTTAGTATTGCACCCATATAACGGTACCCCCATATATTCGGTATTTTTATGATTTTAGCGATATTATTCAGCGGACTTGTGTCAAATTTTGTATTTGTAGTAGGGAGAGTGTATTTATTAAGAAGGTCATTACCGCAAAAAGTTTAAACTATATGAAATTCTTTTTGATTTCGAACATTTACATGGATCCCAACAATTTTATTTCCTGCAGTCTTTGTAATTTCATTTCTACTTTATTATTGTATGTTAATACTTCAAATCCTTAGTTGAATTAAAGTTAAATACAAACGAGTTAATTTCCATTGACACAATACAATAAATAGCCCAGCGGTTACGATGCTAATCATAATCGTAAAGTCCCCCCCAATAAAATTCAATATAAAATCGCAGCTAATGTGGTTACAACCAACAACTTAGGCCAAACAAACAAAAAGCAAAAAACGATAGCAACAACAACTCCATAAAATTTCGATTAAACGCAACAAAGCGAACATTTGAATGGACATAGAATCGAATGAAACACTTCATTTAACATATTTGAAACAATATTTAATACAGCGGCATTATGCGGTTCATGCTGCCGGTATTGGCCAACGGACAAACGAGTAGCAGCTGTTCACGTTACAGAGCCTCAATGCTCGAAATTGTTAACAATTCCATTATTATCGGCCGCAACATAATTCCATAATACTGAATGCCCAATGGATGGGAGCGAGCTCGCAAATGGCCATTTACAGTGGCGGAGTGCAGCTGATCCAAGGCCTTTTCATGGGTACAAATGATAGGTATGCAGTAACAATGTGGAGACTTTTTAATCTTGCAAATACAATTTTAAGAGACTTTAAATTCGAACATTATTAAATATGGTTGAACGAAATATGGTTGAATGAGAAATTCACTCTCAGAGAATATCCTTACCCGAAAATAGGGGAAGGGGAAACTAGAAAAAATATCAAACTCAGAGTACAAAATTTAAAGATTGACATATCAATCAATTTGAAAAGTGCAATCATGTTACTATTTTTACAGCACCGAAAGTAAAGTTGAAAGATAATGCGTTATTAATATCTGTTTTATGCCCACCTCTCGAAATATTCGTCGGAGATCCAAAAAAAACACATATATTCATGATCAAAATAAAATTATAAGGCGATTTGGCGATGTCCGTCTGTCTGTTTAAATCACGATCGAGTACATATTATTTAGTCTATAGGTTTGAAATTTGGCACAAAGGTTTATATTCTGGCTTATTGGTATTGAAAATATTGTTAAATATTGGTCCACGTTTTGGTATAGCCCCCATATAACGATACCTCCAGATATTCGATATTTTGAAGGTTTCTGACGCAATTTCCAACCAAAATAACTAAAACTTTACATTTGGGGTTCTTGAAAGCTCTGTTCTTTCCTTAAAAAATGTTCCATTCAGGTCCACTATTGGTATGGGTGATTTGTAAATTTTTACTGTGTTCTCCTGCCGATGTCACCGATATTTGCAGTTTAAAGTGGAAGACGTTTGAATCCAGATACTTTTATTTAAAAACGTTTTTTTTTTTTTGCCAAATTGAAAGTTTTTCCTAACCGACCCTAATGCTTTTTTTTTAATTTGCACG